GTGCGTGTGTGAGGGGGCGCGTGCGTGTGTGCCTGAGGGGGCTTCTGCTAACTCCATCCGTGTCCGCGGTTTTTGCGTTCCGTGGGTCGCGCTGGCCAGATGCGAGCAGCCGCGGTGCGAAGCGTCACCCCGCCGTGGGGGTCTGCGGCCGGCAGCCTTGGGAGGGGGCTTCTCCGCATAAAGCCATCCGCCCCCGGCATCGAAGCCGAGGCGCTGGGAAGCGGCCCTGCCTTCAAGCCCGGCAGCGATGCTGCCCTGGTACCCGGCTGCCCGGCTCCGCAGCCTCCTAACCGTGCGATTTTGGGTGGAAACGCTAGAGCTGGGCTCGCTTGCTTGCTGGGAGGTCGCAGCCAGCAGCTGTTCCCGGGTTTCCCCGTGGCCTGCGGTGTTGTGACAGGCGTTGACCCTGCCCCGTTCTCGTTCTGTTGTCTTGCAGCTAATCCCGAAGGTGTTTCTAGAACTTTTTTTATTTAATGGCAGGCTTAAAATGGTGTGACGGAGGCCAGGCTTTGGCCTGCAGTATGTCACGTACTGTTGGGTGTTATTAATTTCTTCTTGTCGCTCTGATGCAGTGAAATGTCAGTAGTTTGAATTTTTTCTCTGGGAGAAGTGGATTTTATTTATTTTGCACAAACAGGTGTGGTGGTTTATTAATAGGAATCCTTTAATATTCCTTACAGAAATTATTAGTCCTCACAGAAATGACTGGTAAATGCTAAAAACCTAGGAATAACAGCTAGTCCAGAAGAATACTTCGCTGTGTAGGCTTTAAGTGGTTTTGCCACTTACTAACTATATTTTTATATGTCCTATGTACAGATCAACTGCTTATAAGTTCCTAGAAATTATACAAATGAATGATTTGCAATCTATGAATGCAAAGCGCAATATACATGCAAAATATTTATTACTGTGTATGTGAAGGGGAGGTAAGAACCTGATGTTGCGGACAACCAAGTTTGCTGTATGGCATTAGTATTAGTGATTTATTGTGAGACATTTGATTTCCTAAGAGTGAATCTGTTTCAAGGTTTGCAGTGGTGTTGGTGATAGGCTTAAATTTTCTTTCGAAGTCTTTGATCTAACTCCCACATCATTCTGTTTTCTTGGTACAGGCCTCTCTTTCCCATTGGCTTAAGGCACTGCACCCTGTGTAGTGCTGAGTTACTTGGCAGGCTGCAGTGCACCCTCCCTTTCTCCCTCTTTGCATATCTTTCTTCATTGTTGGCCAGATCCAAGTGGCATGGAAGGCAGTGTCAGTCTTTCTGTTAACTTTGGAGGACTTTGCACAGGCTCACATTTGCATGTTAATAACATGCAAATCAGATTTTATTTTATGTTGGTTCCTTTTTCTCCTGTGTATTGTTGCTGTGTAGATGGGAATGCTGATATTAAAAGTAGCATTTCCAATTGTAACAATATTTATTTATGGTTTTCTGAAAGCTCCATCTCTGTGATTCTTCTGAAAGTGTGAAAATGTTAGTTTTCATTTAGATGAAGAAATTCTTAGCCATGATGATTCTGAAGAAAAGCTTGAGGTCTAACCAGAATATGCTAAAAAGGCAGGAGGAAAAAGTCAAAGTCACATCTCTGAGGAGTAAACAAGAAATCCTTCTATGCTTTACTGGCGTTTTACTCGTGATTTTCAAATATATGGACTTGGAAACGTTGCTTAAGGTTTAACAGGATTCAGTAGCCTTTAGATTATTTGCTAAGCCTCTGAGTGTCATAACCAACTGAATTACTCTCATGGGCTCAATTCTGAATAGCTAGAATGGAGCTGTCTGAAATTTGATTAGTCAATTAGTAACTTGTCAGCATAAGCAAGCTGTAATTTACTAAGCTGCAAGTGTTTTAAGAATTACTTACATATAATAGTCTAGAGCAACACTCAACATTGTTCGTGTTGTTATTGCTGTTCTTATGTGATGCCCTCAAGCAATGAGACCAGCTAGACAGTGTCTTTCTAGGTCTGTATTGCAAGGGTGTTCGAAGGCATGAGGCCAAACCCAAGTAGTGTAATTATACCATAGAAACTAATCGAGTTGCAGTTGTGAAATAGCCAAATGTGTAGATACACGAAGCATGTAAAGAAAAGGAAACTACTTAGGCCTATGTTCTCATGGAACCAGGCAGTAGTCACTCACTTATGACCTTATCTGGAGCTGATCAGAAAACTGCATGTCAAAGGTACTGGAAATGATATTGATTAGATCTGTAGTCTGTGTTTCAGATACTTGGCATTCGTAGTGCTACATGTAATCATTATTAATTTGAAGTAGTCTTAATATGTGTTCATTTGCAAGCTAACGCAGAATAAATTTCTATTTATAAATAATCTTTGGCTTTCCTCTACCCCTGTATTTTGCATATATTTGAAGTATTACGTTTGATTACAATCACATGTTCACAGTGTCAACTACAAAGTTTCTGGTTCACACAGCTTCTTAAACTATCATAGAAGGAGTAACAGTAATGGTAAAAAGAGGCTGGGAGCTTGTATGAAAGAGGTGATTTGAAGCACCTAGGTATTGGCCTAATTCTTACTATTGTCTCTGGGATAAATCATAAGAATTATCAATACAGCTCTCCATTGTTAAGTGCTTTTAAAAATCATGTGCTTAAGTAATGAAGAAAAGATGTGTATTTTCAAGTAAACAAGAATACATTTATAGCAGAAACCTGTTGGACATCATCTGCAACCGTGAGAGCTCTGAAGGCGGTTGGTGTCCTGAATGTTACTGACTTACTGTTAGACCTACCTCTTAAGAGCTAATTTTCATTGTTGTAATTTATATTAAAGCCATGGCTGTTTTTCCTGTAGTTTTCCTAGTGTTAGGTGTTGTGCAAATAAGCAACAAAGGAGGTAGGCATTTTCTGCTCTAGAGAATTTAGACTTATGATGGCAAGCAGTGATTTCAGAAAGGAGAGGAACAGTTCAACAATAAAAATTGGAGAAAATTCTTATCATGTCAGCTATGTATTTGGCTAGTCATTCTTGATTAGGAATTTTTGATACATACATTGATGCCCTAAGTTGGGGGCAGCAATGGGGTGAAGTATGAAATTCCTGATATGTCAGAATGTTCAGTTAAGGTCGGGGTGGAACTGTATTATGAAATTATTTTAGTTGTATTTCAAACAGTGAACTAAACACAGCTTGAGGTGATGTGAAAGGAGGAGGATTGATGTAATCAGTGTGATAGGTTGGGAAGATAATGCTATCTTGAAAGGAGTTGAACAGATGAAGACAGGTGAAGGCCTAGAGAGAGAAATTGTACCCAGGAAAGTATAGTTTAAAGCTAATAGTAAGAAGGGGGTAAACTTGGTTGTGCTTTACAGAGAATCCAGCTGCATTAGCAAAACCTTAAATTTTAAGTTACTTTAGGTGGAACTAAAGGTGGATGGGAACTATGATGACTAATGGATTTGCTTGTTGGCAAATGAGCAGTAAAGCATACTGGCAGAACTAACTTGACATCTGCATATTCGTATAGGAATGGTTTACTCTTCAGAAAAAGCAAAATGCTAAGTTATAGTTTGGGGTCTCTTCATCTTTGCATGCTGGAGTCAAGTATGTAAGTTCCTAATGAGTTGAAGCTGTTTTTTATCACAAGACTTGCAAGCACACCTTATATTTGCTTCACTGAAAATTGTCAGTGGTTACTGCAGGAAGGTCATGGTCACTAAATTGCATGTCTATACATTTCTTAAATAATTGGTATGGAAGATTCAGAATGCTACTAAAATAATGCATTTTGAGAAAATAATTGCTAGTTCAAACAAAGTTATGGTTACAAGAGCCAGATTCTGGAAGCTATGGAAACTTTGCTGTTAGTTACAGGTTGTCTGGTCTTTACGCTGTTAAAGCATTTTTAGGAAGGAAGAAAAAAGTCATTGGTGCTTATTTTGCAGTGCCATTAACTGCCAAATGTGTCATGGAGTTTGCAAAAAAGTGCTGCATGTTCAGATCAGAGGGAGGTGGGCATATACATTAGATTAATTTTCCCTGCTTTCTTGGTTAAAAATAAATAAATCACTTCTGGGCAAGGACAGAGCTCTGATTAGACTCGAGTTAGAAACTCTGAGAGAAGTGTTTGTAAACATCTCCAGATGTGGAGGCATACCTCTCATGTAAGATTATGCTGTATGTTTCTCAGTCTCAAATAAAGTACTCACATCTGTGTATTAATATTCTTTCAGTAGTCCAGACCATTTTGTGGTCTGTTTCAGAAAAGTCTTAAATAACTGTCATGTCTAACTCATGGGTGGACAAATAATAGCTTAAAATATGAGGACATGCAGAGTCATTTCAAGTAAAGTACAGTGGTTGTTAAGCAGAATAGAGTCAGAAGGTTATGCTTTAGTCTGTAGTTAGTAACTTTTCTTTCCCTGCAAAGTCAGTGAGAGAGAGTTGTTCTTGTTTACTGCTTTCATTTAAGGTCTTTAGTAAAATTAATGCGCAAAGATACTTTATTACGAGATGTAGAAATGGAACATTAAGGATTATTTTATCTCCAGGGATGTCAAACAGGACAGTTTTAAAGATAAAATCAATAAGATGCATTTTATTCTTTGGACCAAAATCTATGCCTGTATGTATTTGAAAATTTGTTTTACCCTTTGTTATCAGACATGCGTATTTCTACTGTAACTTCTAAATGGGAATGAATGACTGAGTTGCCTTACAAATGGAAAGGGGGAAATGATGTTCAGTTGTATTCCAAGCCTGTTTCATTCCAAGAAAGAGTGTCACAGTTAAAGATGAGATGCTTAT